TTTCTTTAAATACATACATACATCAGATAGTAGTTTTGCAGAAATTGCAGAAAGGAACCAATCAACAAAAGCCCATTTTTTTCGTCACCCTTACATATAACATCACAAAATCCACCTGATGAAATTATTAAATTATATCCCTTTAACCTCCGTAAGTCCAAAATCGGCATAAAATTAACAGGTAATTTTAAAATTATTAAAATCTTTGATAGCTTTTTTCTCAGTTTCATCATGGTGTGGGTTGGTCCCATTCTGCAGAAATCCGTCCAAATATGTTTACAAAACTGGTAATTTTTATTTAATTTTTTATTTGATTGTGGGACAAAATAATATGTACAACTCGTCAAGAATAGTCGTTTATAAACTCGCATTTTTTCCATGCTCGCTACGCTCGCGTGCCAAAGGAATGCTCATTTATAATCGACTATTTTCTTTCATGTTGCACAATATACTATATATAATATATATACTATATATAATATATTATACTATATATAATATAGTATACTATATATATATATATACTATATATATACTACTATAGTATACTATATATAATATAGTATATTGTGCAACATGAAATTGTTAGTATACTATAGGGATAGAACGATATCACTTTTTTTTGCCGATACTATATGTCGGCCGATACCGATATTTAGGTGCCGATATACCGATATATCGTATCGGCAAACATAATGCCATCTATTTATACACGACCGAAGCAAAAATCGGGGAATTCCCGTTTTAATTCCGTTGCGAGGAAACGTTTGTGATTGGTAGTGAGTGACATTTCGGATTTCTGGGAAGCCCCTTATACAGTGTGTATTAAAACGAATAGATACACTTAAATAAAACAAGTGCCAAACCCCGCCCACTGTGGTAGGGATTGAGAATTTATAGGTTTTATTTTTATCGAATTCGTTTGTTTTGTTTTAATGCATTTCTGCAAATAAAAACTAAGTATTGTTTAAAATCCATTAAATTCCAGTTAATGGCGAAAATGTATTTCTTAAAAACTATACATATTTCCCTACGACAGTATTTCATTTATGCACTGAAGAGTGAAATGCGCATTTTTTTTGCCGATATATCGGCAATTATCTTGCCGATACGATACGATACCGATAATCGGAAACAATTGCCGATATGCCGATATCAATATCGGTATCGTTCTATCCCTAATTGTTAGAATTTGTTTTGCCTTTGTTTAATTCTAATAAAGATTTATTGTTATTTACAAAATCTGTACCTATTTGTAAAACTGCGCTGCTTTGTAAGAATTGGCCATTAATTTTAAGTATCTCTATTACATTGCAGGTACATACTAGTCTAAAACATGTCACATGCGAAATCGATACAAAATGAGGAGAGCAGTGGTGGGGATGAGAACAAAAATGTATGGAATTATTTTACAAAATTGGACAAAGAGGACAAAAGCGCGAAATGTTCATTATGCTCAAATAAGTTAAAAATAAGTAAAGGTTCTTATAAAGGCTTAAAAATACACTTAAAAACAAAACACTGCATCGATATAAGTTCTGAAAATAACAAAATAAAACGTCCTAATTCTGATTTATTTCCCAAAGCATCCACGTCAAAAACTAACTTAGTTAATATTATTTGTGAGGAGGAAATACCCAAAAAAAAATCTAAAACAATTGAGGAAAATTCCATGCAGAAGATGGTTTCAAGAATGGTCTGTAAAGATGGTATGGCCCTTAGTTTATTTTGCACATCGTCAGATTTAAGATATTTGTTTTCAAAAAGCGGATTTCAACTTCCTAATTCACCAAACACAATAAGATCCATAGTTACAAATTTTGCAAATACCGTTAAAGCTGACTTGATTAGTGAGTTCGAATATCTTAAGAAGCACGGAAGAAGATTTGCTTTAAGTTTTGACGAATGGACTTCCCAAAAAAATCATCGATACTTGAATCTGAACGTCCACCACCAAGAAAAACACTTTAATCTGGGCTTAATTAGAATACATGGCTCAGGTACCGCGGAGCATACAATCAGTTTGATAAAAAATCGCCTGGAAAGCTTCGGTCTTAATTCTGATACTGATATTATTGGCATGACTACTGACGGTGCAAGCGTCATGGTCAAAGTAGGTAAACTTATGAGTTGCTATCAGCAACTGTGTTTTGCACACGGTTTACAATTAGCCGTAGTCGACATATTATATAAAAGGAATAAAGAAAAGGAAGTAGAACACCTTCTAATGAATCAGATACAGACGACAAAGACACGAATGATAATGATACCTATGAAGAACAAGGAGTAACAATAACTATGGATCCTTGCCATCATCATGAAGTAATTCCTAGATACTATGATCTTTTTCAAAAAGTACGAAAAGTGGTGAAGTTATTTAAAAGATCCCCTACTAAATACGACATGTACCTGCAAAAGTATGTAAAAGAAGAAACTGGCAAAGAATTAAGCCTTATTTTAGACTGCCGCACCCGTTGGAACAGTCTTCTGGCAATGATAGAAAGATTTTATCAGCTGAAAGTATGTATTGATAAAGCTTTAATTGATATAGGATCTGAAACAAAATTTACCGATCTAGAATGGTCTTCAATAAAAGACCTGGTTGACAGTTTGCAGCCATTTAAGTTGGCGGTAGAGGTACTATGCAGAAGAGATTCAACCCTCTTAATTGCTGAGACAACACACAAGTTTATTTTAGAAAAGTTGCGTACTCAAGATACATTCTTAAGTGCTGAATTATCTAAAGCACTGTGTGAGAGGATAAGAGAACGCCGCACTATAGTAACAGGAATATTAATATATTTACACAATCCGAAAAAATATGATGATGATATGAGACTAGCTGATGATATATTTACCATGCCGAAAAAAAAAGTTATGCGACTAGAAATGAAAAAAATCTTAGAAAGAATTATTCAACATACTGACAATGTTAACGAAAACGTAGATATTATACCAGAATACTGACATTACAAGAAGAATTACAAATGCAAATCCAGCAAGAAGCAAAAACGTATAGCATAAATGCCGAAAGATTTTGAAAAAATATTAAAGAAGGAAATGATTGCATATGAAAGTGAAGGAGATCGGGGAAAATACTTGCCGTTTATTTATGAGTATTTATTGACAATAAAACCTACAAGTGTAGAAGCTGAAAGGGCATTCTCGGCTGCTGGCTATATTTGTAGCTCTATAAGAAGTCGATTAGCAGATGATACAATTAATACAATTTGTTTCCTACGATCATTTTTCCAAAACCAAATTTGAATTTTTATAATAAAGTTATAATTTAAAATATGTATAGTTTTAAACTCCTTATTGTGATTATAGTGCCAACGTTTAAACACTATACTAGATTGGTATTGTTAATTTGTGATTGTTTATTGTTACAGTTTAAATAAAGTTGATTTTAAAAGAAATAAACTTTTTTCTACTCCTATTACGGAATATGACCGTTCAAATATCACTTTTTAAGGTGGAATTACATATATTCCTTAAAGTGTTACAGAATGAATGGATTATTCTATCACCGTATGACAGAATAAACACTGGTGGCGACATCTCTGTGTTTATTATCAATTTTTAGACCGATCTAACCTCTCTTTCTCCCAATTAAATTATTTTTCCATTGTATTTTTAAGAAACGTACATAGAAAACCCCGAAGGTAGAAAAAGTTTGGAATTGCATTTTTCACTCTCGTAAAACCGCCAAACTCGCCTTTGGCTCGTGTGACAAGCTTTTCACTAGAGCGGAATATGCCATATTCCAAACTTGTTACAGAATAAACTATTTTATAAACTTTGTAATATAGGTACACTCAATTAATAAAAGATATACTATAGTATATCTTTTATATTACAAAGTTTCTTATAAGATAAGCAAATTTCAGAATGAAAAGACAAAATGTGTTTGATGTGACCTATTCGGCCGGATCCGACCGGATTGAAATTGTTGCCGGATTGCAATCCCTAGTATGGATTAGGGTGAGCCAAAAAAACTAACCTATCGGATTTATGGGTTAAAATGAACCTACATACCAAGCAAAAAATTTCCCTGCAAGGCAAAATTTTTTGCTCAATTTTAAAAGGTGTCGGTGAGCATTCTAAGTTTTCCATTGAAATAACACGTAAAAAAATCTTTTTTCATTAAAAAGACTATAACTTTTGAACCGTTTGAGATAAAATTTTTTACGTCGCAGACTCTTGTAGAGCATAAAATTTCCCAAAGAATCTATACCAGGATTATTTTTTTTAATTCAAAAATTCGTATGTTTGAAAGCTTTGAAAAGTGTAAAAAATCACTAAAACTGCAGGTTGTTGATAAAATTTTGGATAATAATGTCATTAATCATGACAATAAGTTAGATATAAATTCAAAAACACCCTTAGAAACTAGAGATCCCTTAATTAGAATTTATGATGATTACAACCACAGGCATATGTACATCATAAATCCATCGGCTGTTAATGTAGGCAACGCGATAAACAAGGGAAGTGATAACATTGTTGCCGCCAAAAAATAGAGGTAAGTGCATCTACAATAAGTGTTATTAGTCAAAAAGATAATTTGATCAAACACAATGACCCAAGGTCAATCAAGAACAGCATTTAGAAGTGAAAAATGATAATGCAGATGGTGGATTTAAACAAATATCTAACAGGAACAAGAAAATAGTTTATGGAAAATGTACGGATGACTTAAATGGATTAAAAGGTTATATTCCAAATTCAAAAATACATATTTCTAGTCTAAGCCTGGATGTGAGTGATGTTGATGTAAAAAATTACATCAACAAACGTTTACTTAATGTACAGGTTAAGTGCACTGAATTAGAAGTAAAGTCAAAACTATATCGCAGTTAAAAACTAACAGTATTAGCTACACATAAGAACTTTCTTTTAGATACTGAATTCTGGCCAGAAAATGTGTCAGTTAAACTGTTTCATGATAAAAATTTTACTCAAGAGGCGCTGCAATCTTAGCACACAACGGCATTATCATGGGGCTGACTCCTGCCAGCATCAGGCCCAGGCTCAATGTTGAGAAGTGTCACAATTGTTGGGAGCCTGGACACTTCGCAAATCGGTGCCTCGGAACCGACCGTTCAAGGTGCTGCCTCAAGTATGGCAAAGCGGGGCACTCTGTCGGCGAGTGCACCCTCTGCGTGCAGCCGCACCGAGCATGGTCTGGCAAGTGCGGCCGTATGAAAGCGTTCCTCAACTCGGCCAGGAGGGAAAGTATTGCCGAAGGCAGCGAGATGTCAACTGCGGCAGGAATGGAGACGTGTTAGCAGGCGGTCGCTGCTGTCCGTATCTGTTATGTTGATAAGTGTAATAAGTGTGCGTATTTGCTATCCCAAAATGGGTTCCATCGATTAAGGCAGCTGGTGGTTCAGCTGAACATGAATAGGTGCAGGCGGGCTCACAACCTCCTGTATGATAGATGTAGAAGGAAGAATGCCCGTGCTGCACTTATTAGCGAACCCAACAAAGAAGTGGTGATCAAGAGCGCTGGGTGGATCGTTAACGAAGGAAAATCGGCCGCACTGTGAAAAACTGTCAATTTTCAAGAAATACATTTCGATTTATAACCTTTATAATCTGTGTTTATAAAATACAAAAATTTGACATTTGACAGTGACACACAGGTTCCCCTATTGTTTCATAGATGGCGCTCTACACAATTTTTTGATTTAAATCATTTTAAGATAATAATAAGTATTTGTCGTAGAAAAAGTATAGTATGCACCTCGTTTATAAACTTTTCTATACACTCATTAACTTAAGCACTCACTCGCAAGCTCGCTCGTGCCTAAATTAAATTCGTGTATAAAATGGCGTTTATCAAACTTGATACATAATATACTATTTTCTACTCCCACCTTTAAAACGCCCTTTATCGTACATGTTTCCATGACACTAAGTCACCTTTTAAATACACATTGACAAGTCGTGGCTTTATGGCGCTTTAGTCGCGGGCTGAAGTTAGCAACAGATTTTTAGTCACAGACTGAAGTTAGTTTTAAGTTAGTTGACAGTTGTCAAATGTCATACAATCGCTAAAATAAAGTGCCTTTCTTGTAAAATAATACTAAATGTGAAAATTATTTTATTATCTCATTACAAAAATACAAAAGTATTAAATAGTTTCTCAACGCCAATATTTGCAAAGTTTATATGAACATTGTACTGACCTTTCAATTTCGCCGGCAATAAACTAAATATAAACTTAAATTCTGGCTCGGACTCGACAGTAAAGTGCTCATAAAACATTTTCTTTACTTTCACTGTGAAAAACTGTCAATTTCGATTTATAACCTTTATAATTGTGTTTATAAAATGTTGTTTCATAGATGGCGCTCTACACAAATTTTTGATTTAAATCATTTTAAGATAATAATAAGTATTTGTCGTAGAAAAAGTATAGTATGCACCTCGTTTATAAACTTTTCTATATACTCATCAATTTAAGCACTCGCTCGCAAGCTCGCTCGTGCCTAAATTAAATTCGTGTATAAAATGGCGTTTATCAAACTTGATACATAATATACTATTTTCGTCCAAATGCAATGGAATGATAGTAGTGTTCCACATCAATCTAACTTTACACTTAAATATTCTTTTAACACCAGCCAAGCGCTGGCAGTGCACATAAGTGTAAATATGCAATCGACAGTACTATAATACTTAACTAAGGTAAAATAAGCAAAAACAATCAAAAAATAAACAAATTAAAAAAAAAAACTAATAATTTGTGGGACCTCCATGTAGGCGAATGCACTCCTGCAGTCGACGAGGGATGCTATCAATTTGATTGTTGATGTACTCCAGGGGTACAGCATTCCAAGCATCTTCAACTGCATGACGAAGTTCATCCAAAGTGGTCGGGAGCTGCGGCAAATTCCGAATATGGATACCCATCCAATCCCACACTTTTTCGATGGGCGATAAATCTGGCGACCGAGGTGGCCAAGGTAAGGTGGGGATATGCTCCTCCTCTAAGAACCTCATAGATGTTTGCGCAATATTGGGCCGGGCGTTATCTTGCTGAAAAACACCATCTTTAAGCCCCCTTACATATGGAAGAACAACGGGCCTTAGCACCTCATTGACATAACGCACGGCTGTCATTGTGCCATGAACTACAATTAGAGGAGATTTGCTACCAAAAGCAATAGCCCCCCAAACCATAAGTCCGATGGTACGTTCTCCTCGTCGTCGCCTGACTCGCCCTCTACCATCATGACCGCCCAAACAGAATCTTGATTCGTCAGAAAAAGCAATGTAATGCCATTCATTGCCCCAGTTCCTGCGTTCATTGCTCCAGTCCAGGCGTTGACGACGGTGTTGAGGGGTTAAGGGGAGGACGAGACGCGGACGGTAAGAAGTTAGGCCCATTGAGCATAACCTAAAATGCTGGGCATATTGTTATAGACTGAATGCAGGCCTCAATACCAATATGCACCTTGAAAGGATGCACGGCACTATAAAGTATATATTTTTGAAAGGGAAAAGAGTTAAACCCCTCGATAAAGCGATTGCCGCTATAATGAGATTTGTGCGAAGTAAGCTCATAAACCGATTAATTGTTGCACACAAAGGTAAAATCTGTAGCAAAATAAAAGTTATACGACGTCGTCATAAAAATATGGAATCCTTGGATACAAATTTAATAACAGTAAGCACTAGTGACTGGGAAGTAGCTTCAGAAACGACACATGAAATTTATTTTGTCCAAGAATTAATTGAAACATGTGATTGTAAACTTATTTGCTCAGATTGTGCAATATGCATTCATAGGTATAGCTGCTCATGTGTGGATTCCTCTATAAAATTTAATATGTGCAAGCATACACATTTATTGGCGAAATGGAGAAAGGAAAATATTGAACAAGTGCAGTCGATACAAGAAGGTGCCAATTCACAATTTTATCCTTAATTTATTTTTTGTTTCAGTTTATGTAATTATGTCATAGGTATTTGTCATATTAATCTTATTATAATTCTTTTTTTATATTATAAAAGAAGTACCTAACATGAACAGTATTACAAAAGGCCATCATTGGTAAATGATAAAAATGAGGTAATTCACCACTATTATTTAAAAAGGTGGTAGTTAACGGTTTTGCAGTTCAGTTAGACAGGTGTTTGTGTTATATTTTGCTTTGGTTTTGGCTTGGTTTAGATGTTGTGTACCTACTTTAAAGATTATTGTTGTTTTATAATTTGTAATTTTAACTTCACGTAAAACCAAGTTGCAATAATTTTTGTTGTTCACAGAAAACCGTCATGTGGAAGATGAACCTCATAGTACAACTAGTAATGGAGATGATGAAAACAATTTATATATACACTGCTCATCAAACGATGATGAAACTAGAACCATTCTTAAGAAATTGGGTCGAAATACAATTAATCAGTCTGTGGAAGCAGAAAAGGAGGAAACTATGCAAAATTTACGTAGCCAATTGGACAAAATACACTCTCCCAGTAAATTGGCAATTGTGAAAAGATTTATGGCTCCATTATCACCCACACTTTCTGCTACCATTAAAGCCAATAGCAGCATAATACTACCAAAACCAAGTAAAATTGCTCACAATGCTAAAATTTCTGCTCAAAGAAGACTTTGGTCAACAAAGAAGAAAACGAAGAAAGCTACAAATCCTATGAAGAAACCTACAGCATCGGAAATAAATGCGACAGCGATATTACTTTTAAATCCGCAAACAACTTAAATACAAGTATTGTTTAATTTATAAACTTTATTATTTTGGTGACGCCCTGTGTGTACCTGCGCTGTATCCGCACGGTATCACACAATCGTCCCCACCTACATTATATAAGTTAGTGTAAGTTAGATTTAAATTATAATTATATAAAGAATACGATTGTAACTACCACGCAATATAGTCAGATTAATTTATAATATACTAGTGTGAAAATATACCAAGTTATAATACATATATATACAGTCCACTTAAAATACAGTTTTATTTATTAAAACTACCAATAAAACATATTGGTCCTATCGAGCCTGGATTGTCCAGAATATACAGAGGTTTCCTGCTGGTGACATTGCGACGCCAAGATCCTGTGCCATCCCGACGTCGAGAGCCTGTGCCATTGCGACGCCGAGATCCTGACGCTTGATCAACCTTCGTTCCTTAATAATTGGGACTTTGGAGCTGGATTTTCCATAGTAATTGGGCCGCTGTTCCTGTACCATCTATAGGCCATTGAAGCTGGTTGCCATAATAATTGGCGCACCAACATCGCTGGATCCTGTGCCACTGCGGCACGCTGTTTTTAATTCCCGTTCTCCATAATAATTGGGGTAAGTTTCTATTTGGAACACTTGGGTAAGTTTAAATTCATTGTAATTTGGTAAAAATCACCTAGTATAGAGAATTATTGAATTCTTTTTTGCAGACGTTTTTTGTGTGTTGCATAAACAATTGATATAACCTTCAGGTTTTTTATACATAGACCTGTAAATAGATTTATAAATTCAATTTTATTAAATAATACTATTAAACAATTATAATAATACAATAACTCATATTAAACAAAATTATATTTATAACTTATTAAAATATAATTTTAAATTTACACTTACTTAATTATTCAATAAGCTAAGAATATAAATATAATTAAATTTCTTTTTACTTAAACTATTACTAAAAATTATGTCCGAATTAAAAGAACTTATTAAAAGAAGAGGTATTATCAAAGGGGGATTTACTAGGTTTAAAACATATTTAAATACTTTAATCGATCCTATAAATGAAATACAGCTGGATGCTCGGCTTGCAAAACTTATTGATTCTTATAAGGAATATGAAGACACACAATTAAAAATTGATTTATTAAGTGAGCAGGGCATTGATGATGAGGATCGCGTAGAGATGGAGAACACGTATTTTAGCTTATTAGCTACCGGAAAGGATAAATTAAAATCTAGCTTTAAAAGCGAACAAGAACAAAATCCAATGTCCTCTACATTTATTAATAATTCTTCTCCTTTTTTGTCTTCTGAATATAACGTCAGGTTGCCTAAAATTAACCTTCCAGAGTTTTCTGAAAGTTACGAAAGTTGGTATAATTTTTATGATTCATTTAATGCAATGATTAATGCAAATACACAGTTATCAAATGTACAGAGGTTCTATTATCTTAAATCTGCGCTCAAGGGTGAAGCTGCAGCTTCCATACTTGCTCTCAAGGTATCCAATGAAAATTACACTATTGCCTGGCAAATGCTTAAAGATCGCTACGAAAATAAAAAACT